AAGCTTCTAAGACTTTGAGAATTAAACAAACATACTTGGAAGAAACTTAGTACCTACACAAGGTACATTCATTACTGTCCTTTCTATTCTAAGGCATAAAGCATCGTTTTTTATTTTAAGAAGAAGAAATGGTTTTTTAATAATTATTAAATTTTATTTATTCATTCATTTATTTTAATTTGACCAGATACACACACACACACACACAGAGAGAGAGAGAGAAAGTAAGAAAGCAAGTCACCAGGTCCGGTACTTGAACCAAGATCGGCAATGTGGGAATGTCCAGCATCTCAACCACCATGCCACCTGCTGGTCCCAGGCATAAAGCATCTTTAAAAACTACCTACCTACCTACCTACCTGACTACCTACCTACCTACCTGCCTACCTACCTACCTATCTATCTGTCTGTCTGTCTGTCTATCTATCTATCTAGTTTTCAAGACACTGGGTCTGGCACTCCAAACACAGTCAACCACGTGGGAGTCTAGCACCTGAACCACCACGCCACCTTGCTGTCCTGAAGTATTTTATTTAAAAAAATACTCTGAAGAAATATAAAAATTAAACAACATTATAATATGGAGAAGAGTAAAGAGGACTTCTTAGAAATGGTCTTCTTTCTCTAGAGAGCAAATGTCTACCCAGAAACTGTGAATGAGACCTTACTAGGAAGCAGGGTCTCTGCAGATAAAATCAAGTTAAGATAAGCCCTTTGGTGCGGGCCCCAACTGTGATCTAAGTGGTGTCACCCTAAGAAAGAAATTTAAGATTTGAAAACACAAGAGAAAAAATGATCATGTGAAATTATAGGCAGCAATTGGAGTGATGTAGCTATAAACCCAAGGAACACCAAGGATAGACAGCAGCCACTGGAAGCCAGGAAGAGGCAACAAAGGATTTCTTTTAACAAGAACCTTCAGAAGATAAAGGGCCCTACAAATGCCTTGATTTCAGACTTCTAGCCTCCTAAACTGTAAAAGGATACATTTCTGTTGTTTTTAACTACTCAGTTTGTGATACTGTTAACTAAAATTGCATTGATGTATTACTTATTAGGGCTATCATTCTTGGTTTATTCTACTTGTGGGATGTGGGACACTGCATTCAGAATGCAGACAAAGAAAATGTATTATAGAATATCAATACTTTACAAGACTAAAAAATTCAGGTTCAGAAAAGTTTAAGTGACTTTTTTTTCTCAAGGTCATATAGCTATCTAGTAGCAAAGCCAGGTTAGGACGAAATGTTTACTAAGTCCAGTGTTTTTTTTAATCCATTACTCCCTGAATGATAGAAACTATTGGATAATCAATATAAACAGAAAATCCCAGAGTTATTTTCCATGTATTGAGAAATATCTAAGATTTTTTAAAAGCTTCCCCAAACTACTGTCATTTCTACTGAATAATGGACTATAATATAAAGCAAGAGCCAAAACTCAGGTAAGAGTACCTTTTTATACACAGCGAATGAGACTATAAATTGGCATACACTGCCAAAACACTTCTCTAAAGTATGTATCAAGAATACGAAAGTTTCAGAAGTTGAACTCAGATAAAGAGGTTTATCACAGTATGCCTTACAGTGTAATTTTAATAAAAGCATAATTCAAATAGTCAACAAGAAAAGATAATGGAATGCAGCCGGTACAAAGTGTTTTCCAAAAAATGGCATGTATAACGGGTAAAACTGTAACGTGATTATGTTTAAACAAATCATTTCTGTGCTTTGCGAAAACAAAAAAAGTTGAATTAAATATACCAAAATCTTTGTAGTGGGTTAATTTTGAGTTTGCTGTCTGGTTTATTTTTAAAGAGAGTATGGGGAAAGCAACTCTTTTCGAAAAATGACATTCATCAATTCTGAGACATCTTTCCCCACATGTCAACACCTTTTATGTCAAGAGGCTTCCTACAACTATTATGCCCTAGCTTAACTGCAATCATTTCTTTTTTTTTGGAGAGGTTTTTGCTATAGGGCGCGTGTGCTCACCAGACAGACAGGGACAGACAGACAGATAGAAAGCGAGAAACCACCTCCCAGGGGGGATGGCCACACCGCAATCAATCCCTTCTCCTCCATTCTCCTCTCGGGATCTTGGGCGGGCATGCACACACGCCTGGCATGAGTTTAAGCCACTGGGTCCGGGACTTGAACCGCGGTCGACTATGTGGGAGTTGAGTGACATAACCATTACGCTAACTGCTGGTCCTACTACAATCATTTCTTTGTGGTACACAGAATAATGGTACATCTTATAATCAATATCTTAGATTCTATGGAATATGGCAGTTTTATTTATTATTTATTTATTTATCAAGAGATTTTTGCTCTATGGTGTGTGTGCTTGTCAGAGAGACAGAAAGCAAGAAATCACTCCCTAAGGGGGATGACCATGCCACAGTCCCTTCTCCTCCATTCTCCTCTTAGGATTTTAGCATGAAAGCACATGTGTCCAGCCTGAGTTTAAGCTACAGGGTCCAAGACTTGAACCACGGTCGACTACTTGGGAGTCCAGAGATTCCAGAGATGTAACCATTCCGCCATCGGCTAGTCCCGAAATACGGTAGCTTTGTAATGGTAACCAATAAACCATATACATATATATATATATATATAAACTTACATACAAATACTTATGAAATGTACATAAAATAGATGAAATAACAAATGACTATTATTATACTAATCTCTATTGTTGCTAATCCTATATCTCAAATACAGAATTTCCCAATTAACTACTGGGTATAAAAACCTAGAAACAGGCACTGAGAACAAGCTCCCTTAACAGAAAAAAATGTGTTTTTCTCATCAGCGTGGGTATTATACCTTGCAAGCTAGTCTAGTCATCATTCCAGTTCAGACTCGGCAAATCTTATTTTTAAATTTCCTTTGTAAAGAGCTACTGAAAGCAAAATATACACTAATGAGTATTTTTTAGTTTTGCTCTAGTTAACTTTTTCTATCTAATATTTTTTAAGAGGTCATTGCCTCTGGGCTTGGAGAGAGAGAGAGAGAGAGAGAGAGAATGAAAAATCTTCCCCTGTAGGACAGATGACCATACTGCAATCCCTTCTCTGCCCTCTGCCATTCTCCTCCTGGGATCTTAAGCACACATGAATACGCTCCCAACATAAGTTTCAAGTCACCAGGTCCAACTTGAATCATGGTCGCCCATATGGGAGTCCAGGGACATAACCGTTGTGTCATCTGTTGGCCCCACTCTAGCTCATTTTAAAAGAAGTTAGTCTAGATTTGTTTTCTACTCAAGTGGAACCGCCTTCAGGTATCTCTACTCTAAGAGAATGAATCAATCTTTCTTTCTTTCTTTCTTTCTTTCTTTCTTTCTTTCTTTCTTCATAAAAAGTAAACCCTTTGGACTATGCCCCCATTATAATATGTGCTACTGAAATTTTTGGAGATTTATATATAGAACCAATTTGGAAAGAAGTTGAATGAACTTTCCAGTAGAATATATCGAAAAAAGTTCAAATGATTAGATCCATGAGGTTATAGACTTTCAACTGGTTGAACATCCCTAATTTGAAAATCAGAAATCCAAAATACCATAAAGTCCAAAAATTTTTATACTGTCTCAAGAAAAACACTATACACCTAATGTCATAATACACTAATCTTGTGTAAAATTACCAACAGACCTATGTGTATAATTTATAAATAAAACTTAAGTGAATTTTGTGTTTATAATTGAGTCCCATGCCTAAGGTATGTCATTACGTACTGAATTGTCAGAGAGGTCATGACTACGCATTTTTGCACAGAAAAAAACGCCATGACTTTTCTATCAACCCAATACTTAAAAATATTCTAAAACTGGGGGAAAAAAATCCAAAATTCCAAGCACTTCTGATCTCAAGCATTTTGGATAAGTGATACTCAACCTGTAATTCAAAACCTTATCATACTCTTCATTGTGTTAGTTGGCAGTTGCTATTCCTTTGACTTTTGGCCAAATAATTAAACACACACCATTCACATTACAACAATTTTCTTAACGCTCTGATCATAACTAAACACCAAAGTATTTTTATGATATTTATTTTTATGAGCAGTAGACTTCATCTAGACCCATGTGTTAGTCCTGGAGCTTAATGCACCAAGCAAATACAAAAACACTTTTTAAGGGTACCAGCAGATAGTGTGGTGGTTAAGGTGCTAGACTTCCACAAGGCTAACCATGGTTTGAGCCCAGACCTGGTGGCTTGCTTTCTCACTTTCTTTGTCTTCTATCTCTCTCAAATTAAAAATAATAAAATCAAATATATAGTAATAAAAATTTATAAGAACATAAGTTCTGTGATGCTATAGGACTTTTGTTCGCCATTGTAGCCCCATTATGGAGAACGGTGCTGAATGCAGTAGGCACTCAGTATTTGTTGAATGAAAATTTCTCCCTCAGTTAAGACCCAACTGAGCAGGGGACTTTTTCTAGGTTGTTTATTCAAGAAGAAAAGCTATGTACAATGTCACTGTCAAAGAAAAAAGCTATATAGTAACAATCAGCCCTCTGTAAGGCAGAAGAACAGAAGAAAATAAAAATCCTAATCACTAATCTCTGATTTTTTTATTTTTTAACAAAAGACCCTATTTTCCTTAAAGCCAAGAAAACTGAGTGAAACAGGAATATACAGAAACACAAAAAAGAGAGAAAAAAAGAAAACACTCAGTCATGACCATTTTTCCATAAATGCAACAAATAAGACAGTTATAGTTAATGCCTTACACGACAGTTTAGTTCTTATTCCAGATACCCACAGTTTTGTTCTAGCAATATTCAATTAAACACTATATTCTAACAGTCTTTTCTGCATTATACTAAGCAACATCAGGTTCTTAAATAAATTAAGTCACTTTATCAGATCATTAAACCATTTACCTTGACATAGTTAAGAGTTACTAAAGGGTGGGTGGAGCTGGGAGAAAAGGGTAATGGTAGTTTTTAGATGGGTTGAAAAACACCAGACACTTATTCCTTACCTTATTAGCACGTATCTGTTTGTAAATATCTGTTTGCTGCCGAATTCGATATTCCAAGTCAGAAACATGAGCCTGGAGCCAGTTCCAGCGGCTGACAATAGCTGCCCGGTCTGCTGCCCATCTCCATTCTGACCTGCGTCTCCTAAAAGCAAATAAACTGAGTGAAATCCACATGTAGCAGAAAGTGATGGGGGTTGGTGGTTTTTTAACTTCTAAAGGCCCTAATATTAGACTAACTTTAGTGCAAGAAAAAAGGACAGAAAGACCTAACACATGACACGCAAGGATAATACTCTTCTAACTAAGTGGAGCTGCCTCCTGGTATCCTAATTCTGTGGTATATAATTTCTTTGAGATGCTTTAATTTCTCAAGAGATAGAAGTTTCTATGTTAAAAATAAGACATATATAAAAAGATCCAAAAGGAGAAAAATCCAAATGGCCTAATTTTCAGTCAACAGACCATGTATTCAAGAAAGCTATAAAAGCCAAGCTACTGGTTAGTAGAAGGTATCTGTAATATACATGGTTGAAATTAAACATCAGAATATATAATGGAACCCCAAGAAACTGATTTTCAAAAATGACAATAGAAATAGGAAATTCACAGTAGAGAAACCCAAATAACCAATAAATCTATCAGTATATGCCAGGTTTCACTAAAACTTAGTTAAAATATTTAGTTGTTTCAAATACAGAAGAGAAAAATTCAAAGTCTGATAAAATCATGGGTTGTTAACACATAGAAAACAATTATTCACACAAGCTGGTAACAGTAAAGACTGGAACCACACTTCTTGGAAATATTTGGCTAGATAGAAAGCATGCATATCCAGTCATCAAGAAATTCTGCTTCTAAGAACATACACTATATATTTGCAAAAGGCAGCAGGTTCATTGCAGATTTTGTAAGCTCTAAAAATTATTCTCTAATTTTGCTAAAGTGGGTAAACTATAATGTAGTCTTTACATGAATTTTTCTGTAACCATAAAAACTAAATTTATAAACAATGAATGATAAAGATTATTAACCAATACAAATAAGTAATGCTTGAAAAACAGAGAAGGCATGAAAGCATGCTTGCCCAAAATTACAAAAGGAGAAGTGGAGAAGGGATTGGAACATGGCCATCATCCATGAGGAGTGCCTTCTAACTTTCCATCTTCACGTCTCTCTTACCCAAGCACATACACCCTCTAGCCAAAAAATAAATAAATAAGTAAATTATTTTATTTATTCATTTATTTTAGTTTAGTTTTATGAGAGAGAGAGAGAGAGAGTGAGCGAGCGAGCGAGCTTGCCAGTTCCAGGACTCAAACCATGGTCAGGCATGTGGGAGTGTCCAGTGTCTTAACCAACACACCACCTGCTGGTCCCCATAATAAAAAATTTTAATGCCTAGAACTGGTAACAAATTGAGAATTTTATTTATTCATTCATTTATTTTAATTTGACGAGAGAGAGAGAGAGAGAGAGAGGGAGAGAGCAAGCAAGCCACCATGTCTGGGACTCAAACTGTGGTCAGCCATGTGAGAATGTCCCCTGCCTTAACCACCACACCACCTGCTGGACCCACACTACTAAAAATTTTAAGTAACTATACATGAATTTAAATACAGTCCCTTGACAATGGCAAAATACAACAGAATGTCAGCAATAAGAGAGCTACCACAGCAGGGTTAGAAATGAGTTCATATTAATCATTCCATAATATAGTTATGACATACTTTTCCATGCAAAAACGCCATGATTTTTCTAAGGACCCAATAATTAAGATCAAGGTTAGTAACAGTACATTAACTTTTGTACAGTTCTAAACATAAGTCACTCAAGTCAAGTATGTGATAAAGAACCCATTTTTTCTCTTAGAAGCAAACCTTTTTGGGTAACTTTTATGTTTTAAATTTTGTTGTACTTTTTTTCCATAGGGCATGTGTGCTCACTGGCAAAGACAGAGAATAGGAAGAGAAAATAAGAACACCCATTACCCCCTAAGGGAGATGGCCACATTGCAACCCATTCCCCTCCTAGAGTTTTAGGCACACAAGTACATGCTCCCATCATGATTTTCAAGCTGCCAGGTCCAGGATTCAAACCACAGTTAGCCATGTGGGAGTCCAGAACCCTAACTACCACAGTACCTGCCAGCCCCAAACAAAGTTATTTCATATCTCCCTAATGTTGATGGAGTCAGTATACAATCTAAATGATACTTTTAAAATACATATTATCTGTTTCAATGTTGGCTGCAAGTCTAATTCTAACCCAAATCCAGGAAAGGTCCTCAAGAGGTCAAGAATAATCTAAGACATACCAGCAGATGGCTTGTTGGTTATGTCGCTTGACTCTCACATGGCTGACTGTAGTCTGAGTCCTGGACCTGGAGGCTTGAAACTCAATGCCCAAAATCTGGAGAGGAGAAGGAACAGGCAATGCCCACCTCTGCCCTGGGTGATTTCTCACTTTCTGTCTGCCCAATGAGTGCATGTTCCCTATAGCAAAAATCTCTTTAAATAAAAAAATACCCAGCCACTCAGCCAACCAACCAACCAACCAACCAACGAAACATTTGAATTATGAAAAGGTCCTCTGAGTCCCATTTCTAAAAGACAAAGCTAGTTAGCCCTTACATCCTATTCCCTATTTCTATTACTCTTCAAGGCTCACCATCTTCCTATCTAAGAGATATTACAGGTTCCTTTCATTTCATTCCAGGAGCCCATATTATCACCACTGGGCTATTCTGATAACCCTAGCTACTCTTAACACCAGTCAATCATACTACTTTTCCTAAATAAACTGCCCTCAAACTTATTCCTTTCTGTTATTTTTCTAATTGCCAGAGGGTATGTGCATGGGGGGAGGGACTAAGACTCGAACCACACTCAAACATGTGGAATCTGGTTGCCTTAACCAGCAGTCTACAAAGTCAATCCCTGTCACTATTATGTTTAAGAAACCACAAAGCTCCTTTGCTTTGTTTCCAAGTTTTGAATCTTTAAGGACACAATACAGTATAAAAGGAGTATTGTATAAGTCACCAATTAGATGCCAAAAGGTAGTAATAAAATGAACACAATTTTCATTTAATGATTATTCATAAACAAACTTGTCCTAACAAAGTGACAAGAGTTAGCCAAAATAAAATCCTACTGATAAAAACCAAGACAAATATCTTTTCTTTGATATTAATGAGAGTTCTTTTCAAATTTCCTAGGGTGGGAAGTAACAGGAAGACTATACAAGTATTCTTTTTTAAAAACAATTTTATTTAACTTTGTTTATTAATTCATTTTAATTTAACAAGAGAGGGACAGAACAAGAGAGAACGAGAGAGAGAGAGAGACAGAAAGCCGCAAGGTCTGAGACTCGAACTGCAGTTAGCCATGTGAGAGTCCAGCACCTTAAACCACCACACCACTTGCCAGTCCCTATAAAGGTCTTCTTTTAAATAACAATACAAACTGAGCCTCCTGATAATATTTTTTGGAGACTAATAAATTAAAGAAAAGCAACACTATGGGAATACTAGCATCCCATTATGAATGGGTTTCATTCTACAAAGACGTTATGTAAATTGGAAGTCATTTCCATTAGAAAGTTCTCACGATGTCATTATTTCATGTTCCTCAAATTCTGATCATATATATGAATTTGAAAAATGGGAAACCCCATCCCGAGAGCACAAAAAATATTGTGTGTCCAAAATGCCAGCAATGGGACCAGCAGTTAGCATAATGGCTATGTCGCTGGACTCCCATATAGTCGACCGCGGTTCGAGTCCCGGACCTGTTGGCTTAAACTCACACCGGGCGCGTGTGCGTGCGTGCCCAAGGTCCCGAGAGGAGAATGGAGGAGAAGGGATTGCAGCGTGACCATCCTCCCTGGGGGATGATTTCTTGCTTTCTATCTCTCTGACTCTGTCTGTCTGGCGAGCGCATGCGCCCTATAGCAAAAACCTCTCCAAAACTAAAAATTAAAAAATGCCAGCAATGTGATCATAAAGCTGAGCTGTTATAAAGGTGAGAGGTGTGTTAAAGAGTAAACTGTAAGAGTCACCATATGCCCCATGGCAAGCAAAACACCAGGAAGTGTTACTACAAGAATAAGAGCTGCACAAGTTTGTGTTTGGTTGTTTTTCTGTTTTGTTTTTAACAAAAATGAGCCACAAAAATTCAACTTATCAGAGGTAAGGAAGATTTCCCCTCCAAACATTCAAAATGTAAATCATTCTAGTAATTTATGGATAAAAACCAGAAGACACTGATTTAGTATTAAGGACACGCCTAATGTTATACAAATATCAAAAAAAAAAAAAAAAAAAAACAAACAAAACCCACACACACAGAAAAGGGGCCAGCTCCATGGCGTAACAGTAATATGCTTCTCAAGAAAAGTTGGATCCTGTATGGTGACACTGGCTCAAATTCCTGGCTTGGTCAGTCTGAAACATCGGAAGAATGGTAGCAGTGTGATAAGACCCTGTGGAAGATGCTTATCTCTCTCTCATGCATGGATGCACTATATCATGAATAAGAGGGGAAAATGTATTTAAAATCAAAATAAACACAAAGGACTAAGGCTGTAGAGTATTAGTAATATTAGTAATGAACAAAAATAAAAATGGGCCAGCTCTGTGGCACACAACAGTAATGACCTCCTCAAGAGAAACCAGAACTCACATGCTGACTATGATTCAAATCCCTGGTCTGATCAGCCTGAAATATGCAGGTATGTGTAGCTGCAGAGCTGAAGGAAGGGAATCATCAGAGACCCTGTGGAAGGTGCCCCCCCTCCCATGCCAAGTAATCTACCATGAATTAAAAAAAAAATTTAAAAAAAGATTGTGTAGCAGTTGGTGTAGCAATTATGTTGCTGAACTCCCACATGGCTAACAGCGGTTAGACTTCAAGAACTGGTGGCTTGAAAATCATGTTGATGCATGTGTGAGTGTGACCAAGATGCAGGGAAGAGAAAGAAGAGAGGGGATTACAACGCAGCCATCTTCCCAGGAAGCGAGTTCTCACTTGCCCTCTGTCTCTTTCTTGTGCCCAGCAAGAGCATGTACCCCAACACACATACCCTACAGCAGATGGAAAAAATCTTTTTTTTAAAAAAAAACCCTTAACGATTACTTTGTTT